GGGCTCCTCGCCTGTTGCTCTAAACAGTTGCTAGGAGGAAGCGTGGCCGGATGCGAGCGTGACAGCCCAGGCTGGAAATGGTGCTCCCAGCCAGGTGTGGCCAGCCAAATGCCAATAACTTCCTTGCTTTAAGTGCTGCTGAGTCATGAGCCTGGCGTGAATGTGACCATGGCACGTGTGTCTCCTTCCAGGTACACCCTGCTTTGTGGGAACCCTCCCTTTGAGACCTCCGACCTCAAGGAGACCTACAGGTGTATCAAGCAGGTGGACTACACCATCCCTGCCTTCCTCTCCCTGCCTGCCAAGCACCTCATTGCTGGCATCCTCAGACGCAACCCCCAGGACCGCCTCACCCTTGAGGAGATTTTAGATCACGAGTTCTTCAAGGTGAGTGGATGGGAGTCTGGCCTTCACCCTTCTCTGGGTGGGATAGAATCATGGTATTGTTTAGGTTGGAAAATACCTTTAATGTCACTGAGCCCAACCTTTAACTTAGCAATACTAGGCCTGCCACTAAACCACATCCCTAGAAGCTTTTTTGGGTTGCTGAAGGTGCTGTCCTAGGAGCCCAAACCTCTGTCCTTCAAAGGAAGCAGCCGCTGTGCTGCCCAAGTGTCAGCTGGGGAACTGCTGCCTTGTCCTGATATCAATACGGACTGTTTCCTGTATTGATGCCATTCGTGGGGCCAGGGCTTGACGGAAACGCAAGCTGGCTGTCAGCAAGGCTGTGAGTGACTGCAGTCAGCCCAGGGCAGCTGCTCTGTCTGGAGCACGTGGGCTGTGGAAATCAAACCTCTGCCTTGACCTCTCTGCAGGCCTACACGCCTGAGAAGCTTCCTCCTAGCAGCTGTGTGATGGCTCCAGAGCTGAGTCCCCCTAACCCAGCAAAGAGTCTCTTTGCTAAAGTCACCAAGACACTTTTTCGGAAGAAGAAGCCTAAGGCTGGTGAGTCCATGCACTTGCCCAGACCCTCTGAGTGACCCTCTGTCCAGGGAGCAGTGGATTTTGTCTCCTGGAGATGCTTCTTGATGGGTATCTGTGGACCTTCTTCCAGGGGCCAGCACAAGCTGGCTTGCCCCTGCCCTTCTGGTACCGGTGGCCTGGCATGGGTGTGTGCTTGGAGAGTGGATGCTGTGCTGCAACTCATGGGGGCAGTTCCTCCTGGAAGCCCTGTGTTGCATGAGAATTGGGAAGTGAAAGTGGGAGGCAGCTGCCCGACACCATCCTTGCCACCACGGGCATGGGAGCAGATGAGGGAGAGCTCAGCTACGGGTGGTGCAAATGTCCACATCCCCTGTGCTCAGCAGCGTGCTTACTGCTTGCTCTCTACTCAGCCAAGAGGGGCTCCTTGGAGGACAGGGATGACATCTCCAAGCTGGTCACTGGACTGATGAAGACCTCGATCTGCCGGCAGATGAGCTATAAAACCGTGGAAGGGAATGAGGTAAGAACATCCCCGAGCCATGCACACCCCTCTTTGGGAGAGTAGGCAGGATGGTGATAAAGCCAAGTTTCTCCATAGGCCACCCCACTATCATGCCGCAGCACCAGCTCTAGCCCCGTGGAGACAGTGATGGAGGAGACGTCTCACAAGTCTGCGTCCCCCTCCATCCGGGGGACAATGGCCAGCAGCTGTGAGGGTGAGCAATACCTGCCCAGGCCACCCCAAGCTTGCCCTGAGCTTCCTGTCCTGCCCTGGCTGATAGCAGGCCTGGTTGACTCAGCCTGTCATCTTTTCTCCACAGCCTTTGAAGACTGCATCACTGCCTCTGCCATCATTGAGTCGGCTGTCCGGCTTCTGCGGACCTGCCTCTCCTCCATGCCCCCAGGTAAACCGGTTGGACAACTCTGGGATGGGGCAGAGGGTGCCTTGCATCCCCTTGCCTGTGGGATGAAGGCATGACTGCTATTTGGGGTACCTTAAATGCTGCCACATCCTCCCTGGGGAGGTGAGGTGGCCAGGGGCTGGCTGACTGCTCTGCTCACCTTCTTTCCTCTCCACCAGCGGAGAAAAACCCAGCTTCCCTGGCCCGCCATGAGCACTTTGTCTGGGTGAGCAAGTGGGTGGATTATTCCAACAAGTATGGCTTTGGCTACCAACTCTCCAACCGCAGCATCGGGGTCCTCTTCAACAACGGCACGCACATGACACTTTCTCCCAACCACAGGTAAGTGATGGGGAGCAGACTGATGTTTCCGAGAAGCCCCTCAAGTGGGAAGGGACAAACGGAGGCTGTGCTGGGGATGGATTTGATGCTGGCGAGCCCCAAAGCTCATGATCTGCTCCCTCCTAGGACGGTGCATTACAACCCAACCAACAGCAAACACCTTGTGTTCTCTGTGACCACCATCCCCGAGCAGCTGCAGGGACAGATGAGTGTCCTGCGGTACTTTGCGTCCTACATGGAGCAGCATCTCATGAAGGTAGGTGCTGGGCTGGGATCATGGGTGGGGTTGAATGTAGGGTCTTGAGTCGACCACACTGCTTGGGATTGTGAGACTCCCTGCTCACAAGCTGTGGCTGGGCAGACACCCAGACGGGGTGTCCTGGCAGTGGGGACCCCACTGGGGGTGTGTCCAGGTTTGTCTGTTTGCTTGCTGGTGTCACTGCTCCCATGTATTGGCCTAGTGGCTTATGCAGATTCTTCTCCCCAAGGGAGGTGACCTGCCCAGCATAGATGACCTTGGGCAGCCAGCCCTGCTCCTCCTGCAGTGGGTGAAGACTGACCAAGCCTTGCTTATGCTCTTCAGCAATGGGACCCTCCAGGTACGTGTTGGGTATAGTGGAGATGACCAGACCCCTGTAGGCAAGAGGCCAGGTGGAGACCTTCTGGCCTGAATTAGAACTTGTCTCCCACAGTCCAAATGTGAGGTCCAGCTGTGAATACAGCTGTGGGTGCAGGATGCTGCTCCAGAGTGCTGTGCAGATGGTTGTGGCTTGTCCAGCCCATGGGGGACACGATGTTTCAGTCTGCCCTAGGGCTAGTGCGTTCCTGCCGTGGGGCATGGAGCAGGGATGCTCTTGGGCAGGCTTGGGGGGAGAAACAGGTTGAGGCAGGAAGTGTGGCTCTGTCCTGGCTCTTGACATGCTGTAGGAAGTGTGGGTTAAACCAAGCCCAACCTGTCTCCTAGGTGAACTTCTACAATGACCACACCAAGGTGATCATTAGCAAGCCTGACCACTCCTGCCTTGTCACCTACATCAACCGGGAGCGCAACTCCTACACCTACAAGCTGTGCAGCATCCAAGAGCTGGGCTGCTCTCCTGAGCTCCACCACCGCCTCAGATACATCCTCAAGCTCCTCCAAGAACGAGTTGACGCCTAGTGTGGGACCTTGTGGGGGAACCCTCTCTGGATGTAGAGGTCTCCTCCTGCCCTCCCACGGGATGGGAGGTATGTTGTGGTGCTTGCTGCCTGCCTGGGCACCTTGTGTCCTGGTGCTCAGCTGGATTCTGGACTAATACATGTGGATATGGTTTACAGCAGCAGGTCTGGACATCCCTGCTGCTCTGTGGCTCTGGGCAATCGCTGTCTTTCCCACTGGCAGCTTCTGCTCTGGTTGTGCTGGTCTTGATAGAGTGGACTGGGGTGTCACAGGGAGGTGGTGTGTGAGTGCCCTGCAGCCACGTTTGGGGCTGGCTATGCCTTGTCTGTGATCTGGCGCTCCAGCCTGCCCTGGCTGGTGGCTGCCTGCACTGGGGGTTTGGGCTGTCCTGCCCAAGGAGATGCACCATTGCGCAGACCTTCTCCGTAGCATGGAGAGGACTGGCACAGCCTTGACCTCAAAACTTGGCTGCTGTGGGGTAGGGGAAAACTCCCTCCCAGGGGTGGACAGGGGTGAAGGGCGCTGCCTGCCCTGCCAGGGCCTCGGTAGGCTGTCATGTGTCACTCCACAACTGCTACACTAAAGAAGGGGCTGTGCTGGGCCCAGCTGTGCCCTGTCTGTCCTAAATTGTGAATTGTCTGGTACAACTTGAGGTTTGATAAAGGGTGGGGGGATGGGATCTGAGGGCTTCCCTGGAGAAGCTCTCATCTCGTTGGGACCCAGGTTTTTTTGTTTCAAGGCAGTCTCTGCCATATGGGACTATTTATGTATCTTATTTATATGGAATTATTTATTTTCCTGTTGGTCTGGCTGTCTGCAGATCCCTTCTCCCTGACTCACCTCAATAAAAATTTATTTGTGTAGGGGCAAACTTTGTCAGTCTTGCTTGGAGCTGGGGTCTCAAAAGAGCTTCTACCTACCAGGCAAGACCCCCTGTTGACACTGGCTCTTCCTGGGGGACAAAGTCACAGGAGGGCAGGATGGGGGTGAGAACCCCATGTGGTACCTTGACTGTCCTTCCCAGGGCGGGAAGAAAGGGCAGAGTTAGGTCTTGCTGATGTCTGTGGAGCCCTGGAGCTGCCTGAGCTTCTTGTTGCTCTGCTGCCAAGCTCTTGTTCCTAAGTGTCTCTGCACTGGGACCAAACCCAGCTGCTCTCTCTCATGCTTCTGCTGAGCTAGAGAAGGCAGAGGCTGTGGCCCAGGAGATGGGTGGGTTGCCTAGGGTCCTTGCACTGTGACACCTGGTGTGATGGGATATGAGTAGAGAACGAAGCCAGGAAAGAGGAGGGATTTCATCCACTCTATGGGCTTCCTTTGAAGGTGATCTAACGCCTCCTTCCCCAGTGCTGGTGTAATCAACCTGCCTGGGAGCAGCTTGTGCTGTGGCAAGCAGACTGGGATGCTCCCTGTTAGCATGGTCTTAGGCAGCTGCTCCAGGCTAGTGCAGCCTTTTGGGTTGTGTTTACTGCAGCTTGGGTCTTCTTGCAAACCGTATTTGTGGAAGCTGCAGTGCAGTTGTGAGCCCAGGCTGAGGGCTGTAGTGAGCATCAGGGCACAGAGCTGCGTACATACCTTGCTCCCTGCACCCACCATGACTGAAAACTCCGAGTATGAGCCACAACCGGGTGAAACCCCTTTATTTCAGCTGCATTTTTAAGATTGGGGGGAGGGAGAGGCAGGTGCTACTCAAAGTAGACCCCATGCACTATGGCCACAGCAAAAATGGAGGCACTGGAGAAGGTGGCAGAGGCAAAGCTGTCACTCTCAGGGTCCCACAGTGCCTGGCTGGCCACCAGCAGGCTCTGCTGACCCTGCTGGCCCAGCACCACCTGGCAGACCATCTTGTAGCGGGGTGGCACCACCTCCTTCACGCGGTTCTGCAGCAGCTCGGCCAGGCTCTGGGCTAGTGGGGCGCTGCCCTGGGGGCTGTAGACCGCGGTCGCCAGGGCACTGGTCAGGGTACCCTCCAGCACCCGCTGCACCTGCCCTGCCTTGAACTTGGAGCCTTTGTCTGGCCGCATCCTGTAAGTGTTTTCGAGGATGGTCTTGAGGATGGGCTGGAAAATGGGGAGCCCAGAGAAGCTCACGCGGCTGTGGAGCATCCAGGGGCCGATGGAGGGGCGTCTGCCCCCTGGGACTGTCCCGAGTGAGCTGCGGCGGGAG